TACGCTGTCGCCAGCGACTCATGGCAGCCCAGCTGTTGTTCATGAGCTGTTGTTCAGCATCTTAGCTGTGGAGGGCAGTGTCACTGGCCCTCATATATGGGATCTGAACTGGGGCCCTCTGGCATCCCAAGCCAGTCCTTAACGATTGCGCCACTCGGCTGGCCCAAGTTCCTCATTTTTGATTCTTAAAAAAAGAAAAAGAACACTTAACCTTTTCTCTTTGTTTCCTGTTCAGGGGCAGGTAGCTTTCTAAGGTTGTTTTTGTACTAAATTATTTTTTGAAAATTAGGAAACGACTGTGTTGTGTGAAGTGTGCTGTATATAGAAATGAAAAGATTGTAGAAATATGCTTCCTTTTCTGCTTTGAACTGACCTAAACCAATTGAGCAGTTTTTGATTGTCAGGAAACTTCTGACAATTCGAGCTAAGACCTATAGGTACTCATTTGTTTATAACCCCCCTACTCTGTGAGATGTTACAGTGAAAGCAAGTCTCGGATTGCAGTCTGTGGCACATGTATATGTTTCTTAGCAAGCAGGCATAAAAATAGCTGTAGGGCTTGTTCTTCTGATCTTGGTGAAATTTCACTTCCCTGTCCTCTAGGTACTTTGACAAGTACCTCGCATAAAAGAGCTGCTCAGGTAGATTCAGCCAGCCATGTTCTATTCGAACATCAGGGTTCAGTTACTGTTTAGTTGGATCAGGTGCAAAAGCCCACTATTAAGTGGTAGANGAATAAGACTATATTATTTGTATGCAATAAAAAATACCTTAAACTTGTATGTATTGTGTCACTAGAAAGTATGCTCCATGAGCGTTAGGACTTTGTTTTGTCCTCTCTTATATCTCGGACCTAGAACAATGCCTGGCACATAGTTGGTGCCAGTTACTTAGTAGGTGCATTCATTCATTCCACTGATACTTATTGAGCCCCTGATAGGCTGGAGAAAGAAACCCAGAGGTTTAATCCTATTAACCACTATTAAATTGTTGGCTGATAACCATTGAATTTACTGATAAAGGTTTATAGTTAGAGGCCTTTACGGAAAATTGCCCTTCAATGAGAGACTCTTAAAGACAGAAGATTTACAATTTAAAGAAATGGAGCTGGGGTTGCTATTTTCCATAGAGGAGCTTGACCAGATTTCCTCTTAAATCGTACAGTATCCATCCTACCTTCTCACACTGTTAGATAGAGGGAAATAGTATTATGGAGGGCCTCGAGAATCGGGGCTTGATTCCCTGGGAGGTGTTCAGTCAGGGAATGATGCAGGACAAGCTGATGGTTGCATATAATATACCGGTGCGTGTCTTCTTTCCACCTACATGCTAAGTACCTCCAGAGTAGGGGTCCTTGTGCCTTTCTCTTGTTTCCCTCTGCCCTCCACATGTTTATTAAATGCATGCCGAGTGAGTGGTGAACTTAAATTATATTTTTGCATGTTTTATTCAGGAATACTGTACCTATCACTCAACGTAGTTTCAACTTTCTGGCTACATGACTTTTGTGCCAGTGATAGTGGAGTCCTACAGCCATGTTCTTGCAGAGTTTGAGTCTCTGGATCCATTACTTTCAGCGCTGAGGCTGGACTCCAGTCGTCTAAAGGTGAGTTTCTTGATCCTGGTGCCATCTTCNAACCAGGAATGGAAGAAATCTAGCTTTTTTAGCGTTGTTGTTCAGAGAGTGTATCTTGAATTTTCTACGTTGTAAAAACATAAAAAGAAAGAAACAATTGTTTACCAATCTGAGCAACATTGATTCCTTGTGGTTTAAGTACCCTAAGGGTGTCCCATGAAAACTAGTTTGTTTTTTTTTAATTGACATATACAATTGTATAAGTTTAAGGTTGTACAATGTGTTGATTTGATACATTTATATATTGCAATAAGATTATCACCTTTTGTGGTAAGGACTTTTAAGGTCTAATCTCTTAACAGCTTTGAAATATATAATACAACATTGTTGACTATATTCGTAATTCTGTGCATTAGATCTCTAGAATCTATTCATTTCCTAACTGCATGTGTGTACCCGTTGACCAGCATCTCCCCAATTTCCCACACCCCCAATCCCTGGAAACCACCATTCTATTCTGTTTCTACAAGTTTGGCTTTTTAGATTCCACATATAAGTGATATCAAAACTAGTTTTTAAAGTCCTTTCATGATGTTCTACCTTTAAGTCCTTTCATGACCTATTTTTCCATGAACTGTTTGTTTATTTAAATACTATATTAAAATCCATTCATTGACATCAGATTGTTAACTCTGAGAAATGTTACAGTCTGGCTTCTAATAGAGTGCCCTCTTTTAAAGTCCCAATTACTTTTCACAGAAAATAGCATTTTATTTTATTTTATTTTTTAAAGTTGCAGAAAAGGAGTTTATTAGAAGTAAAAATACATTTCAAAGAGGCAGAAGTGGGCCCGAGCAGTAGAGAATGGCTCAAAGGCCATTATTAGAAACGAAAGTACACTCCAAAGAGTTTGGAGCGGGCCAAGCAAAGGAAGCTCAAAAGGCCAGAAAAAAGCATTTTAAACATTGGATTTTAGATGAGAGATGTGTTTCTTTCTCTGTATCTTTTTTATTGTTCTTTGTAGGATGGTGTCTAAAATATGATTTCTTCACTGAAATGCAAGTGTAAAAATAGAGATGAAATTCAATCCAGCCAATTCTATATAAAAAGTGAATTAATTAGAATAATTTCAGCTTTTGCATAAATGGAAAAGGAGTATTTGGTTAAAAATCCTGTGTGTTCACCCCTTTGGTTTTTGTAGATATTCAGGATGTGGCAGTCTGCAAGAATGAGCTGTTCTGTTTGCACCTAAATGGGAAAATCTCACATCTTTCCCTCGTATCTGTGGAACGCTGTGTGGAACGCCTGTTAAGGAAAGGCCTGTGGACCCTGGCTGCTCACACTTTATGTCTTTTCCAAAATTCTGTCATTGCCAGCCGAGTGAGTCAGAGAGCTTGCATGTTCATTTGGGTTGTTAAAACCATCCTAGCTTGCAAGATTGTGCTATGGAGTTGTTTGACTTATATTATCTCTTTCTACAGACAAAGCAGCAATAAATTCCCAAAGGAAGCATGAAAATCTAGGGGGTGGGTGGAGGGTAAGAAAAAGGGTATACTTTCCATTAAAAAAAAATGTATCAAGTTTATCTGCAAATGTATTTTGAATTTCAGGCCTTGTTTTAAGGGGGATAATTGTGCATACATCTTAATTAAATTCTTAATTCCTACGATAGTTCTCATTAAGTCTTTCACTAGTTTATTAAGCCTTTCAAAGGCACTTCTGAGGTTTTATATTATATGCTAGAGCTCTTTCACTATATTGGCCATTTGAATATAGACTTAGATGCAAATAGGCTATTCTATTGAGTTTCTACTTATCCTTTTATTAGGGAAGAAAATCTTTGACTGTAGATAAATTGGAGCATTTGAAATCTCAGTTGGATCTCACCACCTCTAGTGATCTGATTTCTCAACTGGAAGAATTGATCTTAAAATTTGAACCTTTGGATTCAGCTTGTAGCAGTAGAAGAAGTTCCATTTCATCACATGTAGGTATTCTTATTTTTAAGAGGATTTTACTGTTCAGTAAGATTTTTCTACCTTAGGCTGTACTCAATTTACCTGTAGGATCCCAGGCATATTTTCGTTTCCCTATAGTAGATTTGGGGGTTTGGTCAAGAGGGGTCTTTCTTTGCAGCTCGGGATTATCTCATTTAATTCCCATTCTCACTGGCAGGCTTCATGGACACAAGCTAGAGAAATGGCAGCATGATGCCACGAGCACATGAGAGCGACCCAGCTGCCAGGAGCCTAGTTTGTCCTAATTTGTCCTAGTTTGTCACCAGTTTGTCCTAATAAGCCATAATTGTTATTACTGACTTGCTGCTTTTACTGTTGGTTTATCTCTTAAAAAGCTATATTGTGTTATAAAGGGAAGTTTTACTTGGATTTTTTTGGAATTCTTTTTATTTTTAGGAAAGTTTCAGCATCTTGGACTCTGGTATTTATCGTATCATTAGTAGTAGAAGAGGCAGTCAATCGGATGAAGACTCCTGTTCCCTTCACAGCCAGACCCTCTCAGAAGATGAGAGACTTAAAGAATTCACCTCACACCCAGAAGAGGAGCAACCCGATCAGTGTTGCAGCTTACTCGGAAATGAAGGTAATGAATGTGCCTTTTGTTGGTTGCAGATGTGAAGCAGTTATTTCCTGTGAATCCTGTTTGCCAGGATTATCTCATGCATAGAATTTTCAATAAGGTGTTAATAATTCTTATGTTGGTAGACTTTCCATCCAGACCTACAGATCCACTCACCCTCATGTTTAGGCTAGTGTTGGTAGAGGACCTAGTTTTAATCATGTGTCAAAATGCTGGAAAGTTCAAGAAAGGAGGTCATTAACCAAAAAGAGTGGGACAGTTTTATTTTGACTAACCAAATTATTTTCCATCAGGAATGGAAAAATGGCTACAGTTTGGGGGCATTGCCTTCCCTTTTGATGGTCGAGCATTCCTGTGACTGAACTGTTGAGAAGAGATTAATAGAGACTCTAAACTTCCTTTTTGACTAATGGGGATTCAGGGTTAGTAGGAAAATGAAGGTACCTGCCTGAGTGTTTTATTTATATATGTGGACCATCCCGTGCATCTTGTAAACCTGTGTTCCGCTCATTTGTATCTGGGTCAGTTGTGATTTTGCTACTGAATCTTTCATTTCCTTTGGTTTATTTATTTCAGAATTTCTTTAAAGATTAAAAACGCCCATGTGATTAGATTTTGTTTTTCCTCCCCCAATTCCATTCATCAGACAATGTTTCTCATGGTCCAGTGACGTGTGAGACAGATAAGAATGAAACTTTTCTCCCCTTCGGCATTCCATTATCATTTCGCTCTCCATCTCCTCTTGTGTCTCTTCAGGCTGTCAAGGACAGGTAAACTAATTAGTCTTGTCATTTAATCCCATTTCTGGTTTTACTTCATTTGTAACCTTAGGTACTTTTGTGCTGAGAATGGAAAGATATTTTAAATGGGGAAAAACAAGTCTCTAGGTTATATCTTATGTCTCCTGTTATATGGAGCGCTTAACTTCTCATTTCCCGCTTGGGGCATTTACCTTCCCTCTTTGAGTAGCTGGATATTTGAATTGTTATAGATGTGGGTTTTTTTAACCCACAGATGGAGCAAAAGTTTAAAAATCTGATTTCTCATCCCTGATGGGAACAGTTTCCATGTATCATTAATCATTTCTTGATCCTTTCTCAGTTTGGGCTTAGAATTGGAGACTTCAGAAGTCTTTCTAGCTACTCCATGAGACCAGGATTGGCATTGGAGTTTCAGAGAGAAGACTTTATACAGCTACTTAACTGCTAATCTGAGTCTCACTGGATATAAATTTTGCTTGTCACTAGTTGGCAGCTGTGTTTCTTGAAGAAATTCTGTTAATTCTCTGGCCAGGTTGGGGCAGGTGATCGTATGGCCTCCTTTGCCTAAGTTGACAGAAACATTGCAGACGAATTGGATTTAAAGATCTTTTCTTTAGCACTGAATCAAGGCAATTTAGTAAATGAAGTGAATCCTTATTATAATGTAAATTTCACGTGGTCCTTATTCGAAATATGTAGTTGATTAGGGAAGTTGTTATAAACAGAGGTTTTCTTTTTATTAAGTCCAAGTTGCCTTCCTAGGACTAATAGGAACATAGAGAACTCAGGTACTGAATTTTTCATTCTTGGCAGTAATGAGATTTTTTTATATTAGTTTTTGATATTTGACTTCCAGTGTTTCTAGTTTTGTGCGTAAAACTACTGAGAAGATTGGCACCCTTCATACAAGCCCTGATCTGAAAGTGAGAGCAGAACCCAGGGGAGATGACCAGTCATGTGAAGAGGATGTGAATCCAGTCACCTGCCCAAAGGAGGAAGACACTGAGTAAGCCCTTGCATATAAATCTGTAAATTCTAGAGGAGTCAGCTCTCAGTTTGAAGAAAGCCATAGACTTTGGAGAAGGCACATGTATGAATGACTCTGTTCATTGATGCAGCTCATAAAAATTGTGAATACCACAAAGTAAGTGTTGGAAGATTACATCTACCCACAGGAAGTCTGTTCAGACAGCGTTTTAATTTAGTACCTCTTCCGTCTGTCTCCTGCACAACCTCCCCCACCCCTTTCAAATCTCTTTAAACTTCTGGGATGTTAGGGAAGGAGTGTTACAATAGATTAGGATGATCAAGGACTAGCAGGAGACTGGGTAAGCCGCTAATAACACAGGTAAGCCTGTAAGATGAGAGCATTGGCGTTGATGTGTTGCCTTGTACCTTCTTATGATATGCTGGTGACATGTTCTTGATACAGTAGAGTTGTAGCAGAGCTCGTGGTGTGGCACAGTGGCTTGTCCATCTGGTCTCTGCCTTATCTCATAGTTCAGGGGATCTGAGCATTAGAAGCATGCAAGCTCAGCACTCATTAAGGAATTGAGAGAGAGAGACCCACAGGCCCAGTCTATCTGGATAGTCAAATGAAATAGAGGTGTGTTATCCTCAGAATAACTTAGTGAGTCCATCTATTAATAGGAAATTACAGATATTGCTGTGACATTTAAGGCAGCCCTCAGTCTGGCCTTGGCCCACTTTTCCAGCCTCATTTTCAACCACATCCTTCTAAGCACTCTAAATTCCAGTCTTGTCAGAGAACTGGATGTGTAAGCCTCCACTACCTTTCTTCATGCTGTTTCTTCTACCTGCAGTATTTTCCCTCCATTTTTCCTAACACAAATATTACCTCCTCAGGAAAGCTTCCAACGATTGCTAAGCCAGAACAGTTATTTCTTTTTCTGTGCTTTCACAGCACAATGCTTGTGCAACTCTTTAGCATTTGTTTTATTCTCTTTTATATTATAGTTGGGTGTTTGCATGTCTTGCTTTCTGACTTGAACTTAACTCATCTTGAGACCAGGACAGTTTTGTTATACTCATCAGTTTATCTAATATAACATTAAGTACAATGTCTGCCACTTAGTAAGCACTTAGAAATATTTGTCTAAGGAAGCTCTAATCCCCTGTAACTCATTTTACACTTTTTTAGGGTAAAAAAAGAAGAAGTAACTAGTCAACCTCCTGAAGAAGATAAGTTCCAAGAGCTTAAAGTAGCTACAGCAGAAGCAATGTGAGTATTCATGAATGAGGAAGTTTTACAGTGACTGGGAGTGACTTTTTGAGGTCATCAGTAGTGGTCCTGAGACATTGTGGGGCAGAGGTGATCTCATTTGGAATTGAAATTCAAGAATTAGTATAAAGTTAATGTTCTCTGTATTGTCATCTTGCTGAGATAATTGTTAAAGATTAAAAAGTAACATTTATTCCAGATGAGTATGTTGTATTCATTAGGTTTGTTTAGCATGAAATAAGTTGTTCCAATTAAAACACCTGAAACGTAAATTCATAACTGTTTGTGTTTTTGTAGGACAAAGCTACAGGACCCAATGGTTTTATTTGAATCCAAGTCTCTGAGAATGACTTTACAGGAGTGGCTTTCACAGTTAGAAAAAACTTTTGCCATGAAGGACTTTTCAGGCATTTCAGATACTGGCACTTCATCTATGACATCGAACCAGGATGTGCTACTGCTTGATGAGTCAAAAAAGGGAATATTAGATGAAGATAATGAAAAAGAAAACGGACACTCTTTAGGCAATGAAGAAACTGTTAATCAAACAGCACATGAATCTGTAAATAGTCTGAGGGAGCCCTTGGATGACGTTTTTCGAGTATGTTCTCCATGCCACATAGCAAACGGCCTCCAGAAGGACCTGGCTGAATTGACAACGTTGTGTTTGGAATTGAATGTATTGAACTCTGAGGTCAGAAGCACAAGTGGACATGTAGACCACACTTTGCAACAGTGCACTCCTGAAATTCTTGCTTGTCAGTTCCTAAAGAAGTACTTTTTTCTCCTGGACTTGAAGAGAGCAAAGGAGAGTATCAAGCTTAGTTACACTAACAGTTCTTGTGTTTGGGATACTTTTATTGAAGGATTGAAAGGTAATAATCAGATTGCCTCACCAAAGATAGAAATTGGTATACAGCATCTTGGCATTTTTGAGTTTAAAACACCTCCGTTCTGTTTTCCACTCAATTTAATTCTTTTTTTTTTTTAAAGATTTTTATTGGGGAATTAGGGGATGGGAACAGACAAGTTGCTGTTCTTTTGTTCTTCATTCTAGTTGTGGAGGACGTTGCTTCACTGGCCCAAGTTGGCACCATCATTGCCAAGTTGGCACCATCATTGTGCTCTTCCCGGGCGAGGCAGATCAGTCACTGGCTTCTGGACGGCCGCTCACGCTGGCTGCTGGCTACACATGGTAGCCNTTTTTTTAGCTGCAAGTTACAGAATACCTTACCAATAATGGCTTAAGCAATAAAGGTGTTTATAACCTCGTTGGAGGGTAGTGTTTCTGGGTTTAGTGTAGTGGTCCAGTGATATCCCTGAGGACCCAGGCTCTCCCTCTTTCCTGTTCTACCATCATCCATATGTTGGTATTTAGTCAGAGTTGTAAGATAAGTGTCTTGGCTCCAATTTTGATGTCTCCATTAGTCTCTCAATCAAGAAAAAGGGGGCCAAGGGCAAAGGCTTTCTATTGTTCACATTCTACCTTTAATCTGGGAATGCAAAGCTAAGAAGCCCTAGCAGGCTAGTCTTATTAGCTGGATTTGAGTCACATGGCTCCTCCTAGCTGCAAGAGAAACTGGGTAAGTGAATAAGTTTTCTAGCTTCTATGGTGGAAGCAGCAACGTTGAAGAGGGTTGGGAATGTCTAACAGCCAACCAACAATTTTTGCCACAAGGTATTGGGCACAGCATGGCCACTGCTTTCTCTGGTGCCTAAGGAGAGGAATCAGGAAGCTGAGGGTGGGGGAGACATAATAGTAGTGACCTTCATCTGTGTCCTCTGCAGTCTCACTTGCTGTAAAAGCTGTGGGTGTTTTGTGCAATTATACAGATTAGAAATGATGTAAGTGAGCAAATGATTAAAGTTGTAGCTTTATCCCCTGGAGACTTACTTGATCTTCCATCATTGTGGTCAGCATTGGAATGACCAAGCTAAATTACACAAAAGATGAATGGTCTAGTAACTGACTTTTGCCTAGGGAAAATTACTCATTTATACAATTGAACCTGTTCGGCCATTTTGAGATTCAGTAAAAAATGTAAAGCCAAAATGTTCTTCTGGATTTTTCACTATACTAGAAAGAGAGCGTAAGTGCCATTATGCAGTGTCCAACTGGGCATGAGGTGGGGTGGGGGAGGGACCCGGTATACAGACCCTCAGTCCCTATTTCCAGCAGATAGCTTATTTGATCCTGTGATCTCACGCTTGTCCATTTACATGTTTCTAGTGTACGAGCATNAAAAATAAAGAGGTATTTGTTATAGGAAAAATAGCTATTTTTAATTTTTCAAAAGATAAGTAGAAATGCTTGAAAAATATAATAATAGTGGAACAAATATAATTAAATTTTGTTCTTACCTAGTAGGTGACTAATAATCATTTTTGTGGCATTTACTTCCTATCTAATGTACTGAGAGTTTTTCCTTTCACAGGCCTCATTCGCATTTGTTTTCCTGGGGTTACAGTCAGCTGATCCTCCATCTAATTAAACTCCCTGCAGATTTTACAACCAAAGAGAAAATGACTGACATCTGCAGGTCTCATGGGTAAGTGAGAATTTTCTTAGAAGATGAAGTTAAGATTAGAATCATTTCAGTTAATAACTTTGTAGTTCAGGACCCAAATTGATATGCTTTGTCACTTGGGAGTTCTTTTTGCTATGGGCAAGTATCCTTTTGCTTTAGGTAAACATCTTTTTGCTATTACATTTTGTGCATATATTTTCTTTGTGTATTAGAGACTGGCACTTGCTAATTCCTCCCTCTCCCTGCTGCTTAGTTGCTAGCCTCAGTTCTCAGGCATGCAGATGGTATTGAATTAAGCACCAGACTGTGTGATTAGAATTATAATTGCTATAGGGTTTCCAAGTTGGGCGAGATCAATAGAATTGCTGGTGAAGGACTCAGGGAGGAGGTGAGACTTTGGAAGTGAGCCCTGAAGGCTGGATAGGATTTGTATTAGAAAGGAGCCAGGAGGAGGGCCGGTCAGGTGAAAGAAACAGCAAGAATAATGGCTCAGAAAGGCTGGCATTGCTTTTTATTCATATCACATATCAGTCAGTTATTGATTGCCTGGCTGTGTTGTTTTATGGATCCACCTGGATTATAATCTTTGGGAGANAGCATCTTAGCTGTAGAGGGCAGTGTCACTGGCCCTCATATGTGGGATCCGAACCGGGGCCCTCTGGTGTCCCAAGCCAGCTCTTAACCACTGCGCCACTCGGCCGGCCCTCAATTTAATTCTTAATAGTTCTTTAAACATTGGTTTAATTTGCAACTGTATTATGAGAATTTAGTTTTCTTTCTCTCAGTCATATTCAGAAAATGACAAGCAATGTTGGAGAAGTTGGGGTTAAAGTAAGATTTTTATAAGTGCAGATATATAAAAACAAGAAAATCCCTGATATAACTTACCAATATAGAAATTGTATATACCATTTATTGAGTACTTATTGTGTGTCAGATACTATGCTAAACACTTTTCAGGCATCGTCTCATTTTATCCTTACCACAGACTTCAGAGTAGGTGGTGTTATTCCTTTTAATAGGTGAGGCAACTGAGGCACAGAGATTATAATATTGGGTTGCCTGGAAAGTCATGACATATTTTTCTATGTTTTTCAATGTAAAAATGTATCATGACTGTCCCGACGACCCAATAGTTTAAGTAGGCTGAACTGCTGTAATAAATATCTCATAAAATATTAACTGAGATATAATAGAAGTTTATTTCTTGTTCATATACCAGCCCAGGACAGATGTTTCAGGTCAGTGGGCAGCTCTCTTCCATGTGGTAATCCAGAGTTCCAAGTTCCTTCCATTTTTTTGAGCTCTATCCTCCTTTGGGCTTGTGATTGAGATTGGGTTGCTACATCCCAGGGGAAGCGTGTGGAAGGGCAAACATGTTCTCTTCCAGGCCTGGCCGGGTGGTGGCTTACATTCCTCCTGTTCACATTCTGCTGGTAAGAATTCTACCGCATGGCCCCATTTAACTGCAAGGAGACAGGGAAGTGTGCCCTAGCCATGTGTCTAGAAGGGAGAGCACGGTTGTGGGTGAAGAGCTTGCATGTCTGCCTCAGACTCTGAGTGACAGCCAGCAGTCTCTACTTCACGCCTGATTGAAGGTCACACTATTTCTCATAATTTTATAGAAACCAGCTCACATACCCCAGAGACCATGCCTGCCCTTTCTACTGCATAGATCCAGGTTTTTGAAGAGGCGAATTTTCTTAATTCAGCATTCTGCTTGAGTAAAAGATGCCGTGTTTCTAATAATTGATTTACGCATTAAACACACCTTTCATTCATTACCAAAAGTGAATAGTCACAAGTAGAGATACATTTTTATGTCACTGACTTAAAGATCTTTCTGTTTTCTAGAAAATGGATCTGTAGTTATGGTTCTGCTTCCATTCACTTTTAGCACTTAAAAACAGAAGAAATGATTTCAGTTTCTTTTTCTGAGTTGAGCTAGACTGTCTTTATTTCTCTTCAAATAGGTTCAGATGGTTGACATTATTACTGGAGATTTGTATCTTTTTCTATTATGTGGTCATACCCAACCTTGGTCACAGGAAAATAACAGAAAAGTCTCCAAGATTACCAGAGCTGGCTAGAGCAAGTGTGATGGGCAGTTTGATATGAAGCAGCTGTTTGCTTGAATTTTGGGGTTAAAGTTTATCTTAACTTCCACCCAATCAAAGCTTTCCCTCACTTCTCCAGCTCTAAATAATGGCCTTTTCCTCTGAATTCATTTAAAAACATATTGCCTGATACAATCAAATAGGAAATAATGAAACTGGGGAAAAATGATTTTTTTTTAAAAACAGACCAGAAATTGAAGGTTGGCTTTTTAGAAATGGTCTGTTGAACAGGCTCCACCCTTCCAATGATGTTGTAATTATAGAAAACAGCTCTTGGAAATGTTCTTTGGGATTTGTCTTTGAAGCCAATTGAAAACTATTTGAAAAAACTCATTTTACCTTAGATTCATCTGTGTGTGTGTGTGTGTGTGTGTGTGTGTGTGTGTGTGTTTAACTACAAGTAGTTTTAACTAGATCATCATTTACTTTATTTACCACACTGGGTTTTAAATGACTTGCTATTTCCAGAAGTCAAATCTTCTGTCAGAGGAGGAAGATTTTCTGTAACTGATGTTTAAAAAAAAAAATAGGTCAAATATTTTTAAATTAATTAAATCTAATTAACTTATTTTGTTCCAAAAGATGGAGTAGGGACACTAGTTCTAGGAAAAAACCTGAGGAATTCGGCATTGATGGTAGATATATAGTTTGTTTTATATATACACACGTATATATATATATATATCCCTTTTCAAGGATAATTAGTCACTTATATATTGGTTACATGTTCTTTGTCTTGTTTAAAACTTTCAATCTACTTTGCTTCCCAATTTGATACTAAAGTCTTTAAAAGTAGAGATTGTATCTTGTTTTTTTTAATCTCCAATAATGCTTAACCAACATTAGGCCTTGCCATACAGTAGGTGCATGACTAATGATTGTTGAATGTGTCCATGAATTGAATATTTACAACTATGAGGTGAAGGAAAAGGGTGTCCTTTATCTTTCAGAAATGGCAAGTTCCAATCCTACATATATGGAGATGGAAGAAGGAGATCTACCAACAAGATTAAAGTTAGTGGATGACTCAGTCCCCTTTGACAGTCCTTTATTGATTGCCTATGCTACCCAGTAAGTTGTCCTATATGTTGTCTATATGAACTAAATTTAAAGCACATGCATTTTTTTTTTTTTTGGTATTAGTCTCTAAAGTTTTACTCAGTTGCATGTTGTTCCACTTTTTGTTAGTATATTTATTTTTATTTCTAATAAGTACTTAGATAATGTAACTAAGCTATATCATCTCACAGAAGTTG